CTTTACTGGCTTGCTGTTGAGGAATTTAAAACAAATTATTACCATAATGGGTATATATAGGAATTAAAATGGTTTCGCCAATATAGTAACCTAAGTTAAGTTCCTTAACAGCAACCCAGTTTATCATTCCATGTCTTAGGAGGACCCCCACCCTGTAATAGTAGTATAATAAGAATATAAGAGGACCCTAATATAATCCCTATTATCCCTTGTAGTTACTATTACTGGGTGGGGGTCCACCTAATGCATGTCTTATTCTTGAAAACAAGCCGAAGGGCGCGAACAAACGCGCGGCAACGAGCCATCATGTCCTCGCAAGCACATGGCGATCTATGCTGATGAAGGGGTTCAGGGTTTAGGGTTAGGGTTTAGGGTTGGGGGTTCGGATGATGGAGAACCAAATGGAAACAAAAATGCGAAATGAAGTGAAAACTGGGATTGTAGAGGGATTTATCTTGGGTAAGCGGCGGCTTTGGTAAACCGAATCCCCAAATTCTGTTCCTACTATAACCATATGATAAGTTTAAGGCCCTAAACCCTAAACCCTAAACTCTAATTTTGGGGTACCCCAGAAAAACATTCATTACATACGGTACAGCTCACGGATTGAGGTGCTAAGCTTGACTTCAAACACGGTTTAGGGTTTAGGGTTTAGGGTTTACGGATTGAAGCCGCCCCCACCCCTAAGCATCTCTGAAGGATAACTGGGTTGCTATTGCGGAACTTAAGTATTAAGTTACCATAATGGGTATTAATTATGCTTATATAGTAACTTAAAATAAGTTCGTGAACAGCAACCCAGTAGTGCCGCGTCCAAGCTTTCTTGGCAGTAAGGGCGAGGGGAATGTCCAACGGTTGAAGGCTCAGGGATTTAGGGTTTTAGGAACTTAGGGTTTAGGGTTTAGGGCCTAGGGTTTAGGGCTTGGAGTTTAGGGTTTCGGGGCAAATAAGTGGCAAGTCATGCAATAGATCAAAGTGCAGGAGTTTCTGAAAAAGAGAGGTCCTTTTCAGGTAATGCGGGGCCTGAAAAACTAGAATAAGGTTTCGGAGCGCATTATACTATCATTGTGTAAGGGTTGCACGGGAATAACCTTGGTGCGTACTCAAGCATCTACAATAATCCCCTTCCCTGAATAATAAACCCTCCCCCCCTCCCCACCCCCCAAATCGCAAATACTTCCCACATAACCCTAAGCCCAACCCTACACCCTAAACCCGATTATATATATATATATATATATTTGGAATATTGAATATTAAGGATGGGGGGGTTCAATATCAGGGAGAGGGGATTATCCTGAAGACGCAGTCTCCACACCTGGGGTATACCTCTACAGCCATGTGAGCTGTAGTCTAAACTCCTTAAAGGGGGCTATAGGGGGGATTGGAGAGGGGACTACTATAAGGCTATTAAGGGCAATACTAGGACTTTAGACTATAGCTCATGTCATTGTTTCAAGCTCCAAAGCCCTACATATCCCCTTCAAAGGGACTCTGACTGCTATGTATACCCTTGAAAGCCCCACAAAAACTCCTGGAGCCGGAAAATGGTTCGACTCCAAACCGGGAAAACTGCAAAACCCAAAGTCCAGGATAATAGTGTCCATACGTGATAATAAGGACCATATAAGGGTCCTTGTATATTCCACTTATACCACTGTTCCAGGGTGGAGGGCCTCCCAATACTATAGTCTGGAAGCCCCTTAGGCCTATAATGCACAATATTGCTGTAAATATGTAAGTCCTTCGGGTTATACCACAGTAAAAGATCAAGAATTCTTCCTAAGAGGGGAGGAATAGTTGGTACCGCAATTTGGAAAATGAACGAAATAACGCTCACAGTTGCGGCCTCCATTGTGGCAGCAGCTTTATCCTGAGCAGCTCATGTTGGCAAAAACTAAAAGTCTTCAAAAGCTGACATATGACACATGGTTCAGAAATCGTACCAGAATCCCTTCAAGGGTATGTCGTGCAGAGAAAGACAAAACCTGAAATCCAAAACCGTTGATCCTCCTGATATCACCTACTTGGAGGGTCATGGGGACTTAGTAAATAGGTTAATAACCCCTATAAGCCATATAGTAAGCCCATTTATCCCTATTATTAACCTACTTACGAAGTCCCCCTGACCCCCCAAGTATGCTTTCAGGGAGGCTCCATCTTCGCGCTTGTCCGATTCTTCGGATCTGAAAACGGTTTAGGGTTTAGGGTTTGGTGTTTATAACCCTTGTTATAATCCCCCTTAATGGCCCTCTAGGAATTGTAAGTAATGGTATAACCCTAGCTATAACCAGTTCAGTAACTGGCGAGTCCCGTGACCCTTCAAGTTCAGTAACTACAGAGTCCCGTGACCCTTCAAGTAGTCTTCGACGATTGCTCAACAAATAAGCATTCTGGCTGTTCGCATGCTTCGGCCATTACCTGCACTCCCCCCCAAACTAAGGTGCAACCCCAAAAAGGGTACTTGAAAAGTCAGCACAGTCCGTTCAAAGGGGCCAACGTGGGGTTCCACGCAAATCCATGATTTGGGGGAACCTTTATCCCCTAAACCCTAAGCCCTATTCCCTAAACCCTAAAGCCTAAACCTTATTCTGGAAGCTCCATCTCCCTGTCTCCGAAGGAGCCTCGTCTTCCGCCTGTGCTGCGGAAAAAGCGGATGCTGCAAACCTGACCAGGCAGGGCCCACTTGACACCGCATCAGCTTACCATAAGGGTCCATGTAGGTAATATTTATGGACTTAGGGGCCCACGTCGGTTTTATCTATAGACGTAGAGCCCCAGAGTTACTGCTGGGGCCCAAATAAATATGATAAGGTGTTGGGGCATAACGTTGCAGTTCTATAAGGGTTATGAAAGGAGCATACTTGTAAGTAGTCAGGCTTCCACAGTTCTTGGAAGTCGGGGGCACTTGGCAATCTTAGCAAGCATATTGAAAGCTCCCCGAAGCCATAGGAAAACCGAACTTAGCCTTAAAGCTACTTACCAAGTTCCCCTGACCACCAGTGTAGGTTCCACGGCTTAGGATTTAGGATGTTGGGTCTAGGATTTCCAATGTACTGTGCGGCGTACAATTCAGGAATGTAAGCTTTGTGATCTGAGGCCAAGGGCCGAAGGCAAAGTTTAGGATTTCAGGTCGCGTGGAAAGGTTTAGGGCTTAGGAACATTCTGGTGAGAGGACAAACAATAATCATGAGCACTACAATGGTCTGGCTGCGAGACTTCTTGGATTCACTAGCCGCAGTACTGCATTCGGCTGCGAACAGGCTGCTGCTTTGCCAGCGCGCACTCCTTCTCGAGAAACTTCTGCTGACGGGTCGAGAAGAGCGACAGGTTGGCATGCACCACGCGATACCTTCGTCACAGGGGTCATGTGTGCACATTTCTCGGCATGGTGGTGCCCTTGGGGAGCCTAAGGATACATTGGGGTCCCAAGTCCCCCTAAAACCATTTTGAATCACTCGCGTGCGAGGCATGCTCAGAAACATTGGTCTATTTTGGTGTACGCGGGGGCTATGTGGTGTAAGGGTCAGCTTCTAGAACGTCTCAGCGCCATCCGACTCACGACAACCTCTCTACTATCTGCACTTTAGGAAGTAGGCGTCTGCTGACATAAGTGGAACAGCAAGATGTCTGATCGGAATCCTAGATGATCAGAGAAATTCTCGCAGTCCCCACCCCAAAAATTGGACCCTATAGCTATCATATTCTCACTAAATTGGGCCCCGCTTCGTGAAGCTTGGGGTTCCAAACACTCTTACTGCCAAACTCCCACACCCTCAAACCATCCATACTTTTCATCTGCAAAAGTGGGGGGTCCAACTGAGGACCCCTCTCTAAGGTTCGCAACGCAGTCTAGATTGTTCAATCACGTAGACAACCCCCAAATCCTGCACCCTACACTACACCCTTGTCGCCCATTTACTGATTTCTCATCTGTTCCGGGTTCATGCCACTTAGTAACTCCCAATAACTTGGGTTATTACCCTGCAGATAATCGCCATTTAGCGGGATTATATGTAGGGGCCTTAAGCCCAGATATAAGCTGTCACTAAGTCCCATGAACCTCAAGCAGGCCTTCCTAAAGGCTAGACCCTAGCCTAAACCCTTGTTGGACCTTCACAGGTGCATCCTTCAGCAACTGAGCCCAGGACATACGCTGACCTGCCTTCTCGCTCACATCATTGGCAAACTTGGCATGAGCAATGATGTCGTAGATCGTCTTGGGGGCCAGGCGACCATCCTCGCGACTTTGTTTAGGGTTTAGGGTTTCAGAGATTCAGGGTTGAGGGTTTAGGGTTTCAGGGTTTAGGGTTTATTTAGTGTTTCAAGGTGTAGGGTTTAGGGTTTCAGGATTTGAGGATTTCAGGGTTTCAGGGTTTCAGGGTTTAGGGTTTCAGGGCTTCAGGATGACTCAAATGGAAGAGCAAGGGGACAACGAAATGAAAGCTGGGCTAGAAAGAAATACATACTCATATGAGCCATAGTCTAAACTCCTAGTATCCTCCTCAATAAGCCCTAGAATACTCTCCTATACTCCCCTATATAAACCCCCTCCCTTTTATGAATTTATGCTACAGTTCATACGGGGGTTCAGAGTGTGGGTGCAAGGCTTGAAGATGAGGATCTACGGTTCAAGGCTTAGGCTGAAGGGTTTAGGGTTTAGGGTTTTAGGGTTTAGGGTTTAGGGTTTAGGGCTTTGGCTGTAGGGCTTCATGCTTAGGACATGTTGAGCTGAGGTCTAAACTCCTGTCATCCTCCTTACTAATCCCTGTGGTTATCCCCTATATAAGCCCCTATATAGTCCCCCTTAAGTAGATAGAATCTGGCTTTGGGTACATTATAGAGGGAGATCATTGTGAACACTGCGGCATATGGAAACTTTGCACCCCTAAACTCTAAATCCTAAACCCTAAACCCTAAACCGCTCAAGAGCCCTAGAAGTATATTCCATAGCACTGTCATTCCTCGGGCATAAGGTATGTCATGTGGTGCAAGATTTTGAACAGCACACAGAGGCCAGATAAGAGCTAATCCTTCCCCGAGGAATTGGCCTCCCCGCCCCCAATATAGTGCCAGTACATGTGTATATTCATATAGATATATATATATATACATATATATATATATGTGGAGTAACTGAGATAATTAGGGAGTGGGGAGGTTTATTCCTAAGTGGTTACTGTTGCAAAGAGCTCGGGTGTGAAGTGGAACTGTTTAGTCGAGGGGCTTGCGGTTTAAGATGTCAAGGCATAAGGTGTCAAACAAATGCCAATCAAGAACTCGGCTTTGAAGCTATAGGGTTTAGGGCTTAGGAAAACAGTCAACTTACTGACAGGTGGTACTCTACTGTCCCTAATGGTCACCACTATGGATTCCACTAGCGTTCCGTCCCTATACCGAGCCAAATTTTGAACTCGGAGTATGCACAAGTCCATACTCAGGCTCTTTGTAACTTTGAACCTTTTGCCAAATTCTTCTGCCTGCGCATCACTGGATCGCTTGGCAGGGCAACAACGACGCCCGCCCTTAAGCCCAACCCTCCTAACGGCACCCAACCCCCCTAGCAGTCTCTAATTGGGCAGATCCTGGGAAGGGGTGTTGGTTCTCATGATGTACACGAAACCCCAGATCCTAAACCCTGAACCCTAAGCCCCAAACCCCAAACCCTCAACCCTATTAAACCCTAAGCCCCTAAACCCTGAACCTTGAGCCCTAAACCCCTGAACCCTAAACCCTAAGCCCCTAAACCCTCAACCCCATTAAACCCTAAGCCCCCGAACCCTAAGCCCCTGAACCCTAAGCCCCTAAACCCTAAGCCCCTGAACCCTAAGCCCCTAAACCCTAAGCCCCTGAACCCTAAGCCCCTGAACCCTAAGCCATTAAACCCTGAACCCTAAGCTGTCCGGCCTGCGGGTGCGCCTGCTGAACGGCTCTCGCCAACCACTTCACACGGGCGTCGGGCTTCATGGCCAGAACCTTTGATTGCTTGGGAGGGTTTAGGGTTTCAAGTTTAGGGTTTAGGGCTTGGAGCCTTTAAAAAGGGATATAGATATAGGGGTAGATAGGGGTAGATAGGGGTAGAGTGGAGTAGATAAGGTTTGGGGTTTAGGGGTTGGAGGTTCATGTGACTTTTTACGTACCTATAAGTGGGGGTATTGCCCTACTTCTAGTTGGGGTAACCCCTGTAAGGCCATTTAAGGGGCTTACAAGTAGGGCTATAAGACCCTAAACCCTAAACCCTTAAGCCCAGTTATAAGTAGTTGCTGGGCCTCCGACTAGAGAAACCTTACACCATGGGTTGGGCGCCCATCCACTACTAGTGACCACAGAGGGTTTAGGGTTTAGGGTTTAGGGTTTGGGGGTTCGGGTCGTGACATAGTCCCAGTATACCGCCAGCACTGATTGAGACCCTAGCCCGACTTATGCCTTAAAAGGCGAAGAAGCCAAAAGATTAGGAACACAGCCCTCATGAGCCTCAACACGGGCTCTAGGCAACCCCAGCCACAAAACAAGGACCCTCTTCAATCTTAGTAAAGTGATATCATAGTGACAGGGTCCTTTTTTGGCGGCTGGGGTTCCAAAATGTCCCGACTACCTAGACCTAGCCGACTCATGAGGCCCCCTGACCATAAAGGGTTCGGAATTAGGGTTTTGGAATTAAACAAATAGAATAAGGTTTGGGGTATGGTACATATGTATATATTCTGATGTGTGACGCTAAAATGGAGCCCATATAGAGACTCCGCAAGAGGACGGTGCTCTATGTGAGCCCTTTTAGTTTTGAAGGAAGATAGCTGCGAAGGCTCTGTGTGGCCCCGAGATACAACCTCTCATTCCCTACATAGGATTGTTTTTGAAAAGCCTCCGCACCCGCCACAGAAACCTCCATCGCCGTTGCAGGCTTTCGAAACGACTAGGCTCGCACCCTAAGCCCCTGAACGACGAAAGCCCTCAACCCCAAACCCTGAAACTCCAAAACAGGACCCCTATTCAAAAACTCTGCTGCCGCCTGCTTCAAGTCAGTTTGGACATTGCTTGGAGCCGACTCCTCCTTGGCCGCCTTACCCGGGCCTACCTGGCACGAGAAGTAGTTGAGATAGATATCTATTTGTATTTACTTATTTACTTGCTTAGTTAGAGGGAGACAACATATGCATATATGGGTAGGTTTATCTTAGACTACGCACATATATGCGTGTATACATATATATAAATATATTATGTACCCATATGTATATCATATCTCTACCTGTAGAGTCTACGATAGTGAGTCTAGGTTTAAGGCTTAAGGGCTTAGGGTTCAAAATTTCGGTTGGAGGTTTCTACGGGAGAGGGGGTGTGAACAGGGTTTAAAACAATGGTAAAACACACCAACCAATAGCAGAGCAACGAGGGTCACATCAGCTGACCCTGCTACATAACAAACTATATTGTAAACCACGACATTTCGAACTGCGATCAAAATCCATCACCGGAGTATTAGCAACAATGATGACGACGATGATGATGATGGCGATGATCATGATGATTGCGAAATATGTGTTGATGTAGGCACCATTGCAACAGGAACTACGAGGAAAATGCCGGCAAAGACAAGAATTCAGCATCGGGATAGCTGTCAGAAGTACTAAGCTCAAAGCACGGCATGTAAGCTCAAACTTCACGACCCCCCCCCCGCCCCCCGCTTTTTCTCAGGAAACCTATGCAGGGCCAGAGCCACGCACTACACTGTAGATGCTACTGCTTCAACCCTCATCCCCAAAGGCTACACCCTGATCCCTAAACCTCCATCCCTAAACCCTACACCCCAAACCTTAATCCCTAAACCTAAACACCTAATCCCTAAACCTACATCCCTAAAACCCTACACCCCAAACCTTAATCCCCAAACCTAAACACCTAAACCCTAAACCCTAAACCGTGTCGGCAAGGGTGCTCTCTGCTCGTTGCCTTTGCGTCTGCTGACAACCTGCCGCATTTGGAAGGTTTAGGGGTTCAGAGGGTCTTCAGGTTTAGAGGTCTAGGGGGGTTACGGGATGAAGAACGTCTAGGGCGAATCTAGGGCGTGGGAGGATGGGGGGCTTATACGCGGATTTCTAGGGCTTGCAGGGTTCAGGGGGATTTGGGGTGTAAGTGGTTTAGAGGTCAAGGGCTAAAGAATTGTCAAGGGTTTAGGCACTGAAGTTGAATCACTTAAGCACATGTCGGCTGAACAGGTCTTAAACGAATGTACATGAGCTGGATTTGGCAAAGCCGGAGTGGGGGTGGGGGTGGGGGTAGTGCATGGTTAGGTGGACTTCCTGGCCTTTGACTTGAAACATCGCAAGCGCTGCACACAAAACAGCTGAACATGAGACCCTTTTCCTGCTTTAGGGGTCCTAAGCACCACAAGTCCTTATGAAGCCCCATTGAACTGGAACGAAGTCCATGGCCCTGTCTTGGTGGCAACGTGGGCTGCAATATCCTGATTAATTTGGCGTTTCAATCTCTATCCCCCGGGAAAGATCCGAGCAGGTTATGGGAAGAATATCGAATGCAAATCGGAAATGATGTTCAGGACCCGTCGAGGTTCTGCCGCGTCGTAACCCAACTATACTGATGCTTCCAGTCCTTGGCAGCCCCGCACGGACGACGCACCTAAACCCTGAAACCTAGTTAAGCCAAAGCACAAGAATTCAAAGCTCAGGCGGAACTTTGCGCGAAAACTTTGCCAGAAATGTGTATCCAAAAAAGCGAACATTGTCATCAGAGGCATTCAAAAGCGGACTCCGCTTTTGAGGAAAAAGGGTTGCGGAGTGGCAGTTAAGAGGCCTTCAACCCCAAAACCTGATCGCGAATGCCTCACAATCAAAGCACTGAAACCTTCAACCCTCAACGCTGCACCTCAAACCCGCATTCACACCCTGGACCTGAATCCTGAGAACCCGAAGCAAACTCATACACAACACCCACCATGAACCCGGAACCCTAAACAACTCCAAACCCGAGGCCCTACCTAAGGCCCCCCTAGGTACCAATGACACTGGCGATTAACCTGTAGTAATGGGTATCATTAGTACTGGTATGGGTATAAGGAGATTCAGGTGGACCCCAAACCGAACGAACCTTTACATAACCCCCGTTTCCATGTCATTTGCCATTTTTACATTCTTGGGGAAACATTCACAACCTATATAATCTCCATAATAAGGCCCCTACACCCTAAACCCTACACCCTAA